AAATTCCCCTGTATTTACGTGTGCAGTCACACTGCTTGATTGGGTACCGATGAGGGAAGGGAATCCCTCAGCAAACATTTCTCCTACAGTACACATTTAGAAGTCTGCTTCCATCTAAACCACAGATGTGCAGTACTGCCATGAAGGGGCGAGACTCTGCAGGTTTTCACACAAACCAAACATACAACAGGTGATTTGACTGATAAGAAAAAAAGGAGGGACTAAGTGCCCGGTGAAGAAAACCTGCATAGTCACAGCCCCAAATGGCACGAAGTCCTGCTCATTTGTTACCCAAGTCACACCAACCAGTTTTGTCTGTTCAAGTCAAATGGAATTAATAAAAATATTAAATGTGACAACAGTCTTTGAAAATTTTGTTTGTGCTGCTTTTTCCCCAGGGGAACTTGCTTTCAGACCATGAGAAATGTATGGAGGTCTGGGGCAATCTGCAGCTCAAATGCCCTTGAAATAAAAAAAATGAGGGATAAAAATGCCCCCGGAAATCAGGGGTGCCCTTCATTAAATGTCAACCTGTACTTTTTTTCCTCCCAGTAGGTAATTATTAATGTGTGACTGCAGCTACTGTCTCCTCTGAGCCACCATAGGGTAGTTCTATCACCAGGCTACACATTCCAGTATATTCTGGGGAACAAAAACAAAAGAGAGCAGATTTTGTTGATCAGAGAAGAGCTACAGTTGAGTATGCAGCATGAAGCCCGTAGAAAACTCTGGCACCACACAGCCAGTAGAAGAAGAAAATCCCGATCCCACACAAACCTTTGCTTCATGGAAAAACAAAAGAATCGGTACTGTAAAAAACTTAACAGCCGAATTGAGATGATTGGAAACAGAATCTTCGTCAATAAGATGTGCCAGTGTCCAGCATAAGAAACATATCTGTTATATCAACTGAGAGCTAATTTACCAATATGCAATGCAAATGGAATTATCACACACAGCTAAGATAAAAAAATTAATTTAAGTCCTGAAATTCCCCTAAAAGTCTCTTGCCCTAAAAAAAAACAATAAACAAAATAAAAAACCTGTGTACAAGAACAGTTTATTTCGCTTAAAAGGTACTTTTGAAAACATTTAAAACTAAAGCAGAACAGGCTCAGGCATCAAAATAAAAACTGAGTTTAATCAACATCTCAATTAAAACAGTTTTTTAATTTTACAATATAATAATATAATTCACAGGTGCTCATGTTGTTGTGTCAGCCAATGCTACAGCGGATCGTCTTGCTTGTATTTTGAGAACATCTGGTCTTTCTGCGAAAAACATTTCACAGGAGCTTTTGATTCTGGTCCTGATTAATTTGCAAATGTATATTTTTACTAACTGAACACTAGCTTAGGAGAGCATGGGGGTTACTTGAGTGCAAGGTTATGGAAATCAAATACCCTGTAAGCGCTGTGTGCAAGACAAAATTATGATGTTAGAAAGGGTCCACTCGCTGAAAGATAAGCACAGCAAACAAAAATTTTAATGCCTCTCAGCCAAGATTAATTAAAAGGTGACTGTTACCGAAATTTAAAAAGGAACAGATTTTAAGGTTTTCTGCAGCTAGTCAATGGTGTGTAATGAGTGAATATGCTTAAAATGGAAAAGAACACTGCTGTGATCTTAGATGATAATATTACCGTTAGTGAGCATGAGTTACTCTCTCCCAAAGGTAGAAACCAGACAGCCAAGTCTGTTACCTGTGTTTTAATTAGGAAACTTAATAAAGCATAGACTGATGATGGATTAGAGATAGTTGTTTGAGCATTCGGCAGGAAATTTCTGTGGGATTTTGTGAGATAAAAATAGAAAACTGGTGTCCAAATTGGTGTTGAGGGAACCCCTGATCTTTGATTTCTAGCTTTGGGATGCAGATGTTATTGGATGATGAAACGTTTTCTAAATTTCACAAGGTAAAAGGAAGTATTAAAAAACAACAACATTGGAACAGCTTTTCTGGGTGGATATGCTAAGAAGCCCTATGGTGAGGCAGATCAGGATAGATATGAAGATGATGGGACAGACAGAAAGAAAAAGGAAGGAAGGAGGGAGGGAGGAAAGGAAGGGCGTCTAACAAGAGCAATCAGCAGCAATATCTCAGTGTTTGTGTCTGACTGCTCATACTGTCATATCTTCTACAGAGAATAAAAATACAGATGTAATGGATTACTAATTATTTGACATTTTAGTATAAGGAACATAATTCCTGGCACTTTGAAAATAAAAGCTTAACAGTATGGGCTTTCAGACAGTTTAACTTCTACTCTGTACTAAAACTTTGGTAAGGATGTGACTGACCTCTTTCTCTCCCTCCCTCTTCTTTTTATTCATCATTATATACCCTCAGGCACAAAGTCCCACACAAACAGACCCACTACTCTTTTCCTCTCACACACACACACACACACACACACACACACACAAACCATTGGTGTAATACTTGAGCAACACAGTTGAGAGTCAGTAGCATTAATACATGTGTTATGTTCTATTTTACATCACTGTGTCCATTGAACTGTAGTATATATGCAGAAAAGAAAGCAGCAAAAGCCTTGTGATTGTTTACTGGGGAGCTTAAAATATAAAATGCTTTAAATTTGTTCTGAAACAATTAGTTAATCAATCCAGTAATTGACTGACCTGTGTTGAGAGTGTTTAAAAGATATTAAAGACCTGGTGGGTTTCTAACTTTTTAAATCTGAATGCAGACAAAACAGAGGTCATTGTGTTTGGACCCAGTCGGGTCGGTGATGTCTTTCCTGTGGACCTGGGCTGCCTGCAAAAATTAGTGAAACCCGTAGCCACAAATCTGGGTGTCAAAATAGACAAGTGATTTTAAACTTGACAAACAGATAAATAATGTTGTTAATCATCGTAATGATTTTTGAGCATGTGATTTATGCTTTTATCTCAACCTGTCCGGACTACTGCAATGCACTTTACACTGGCGTTAACAAAGCTTCTCTGTTATGCGGCATTGAGACCAAACGCGAATATTCTCCTCGCGACGCTTTCATCGCGTGAGAACATGCAAGTGTTCTCACAGACAACGCGAGAAGGCGATTTCAACGCGATAAGGTGAATAAACACAACTTGCCATTACTACAACTGTATGAACCCAAAGTAAACATTTTGCTGTGATTAAAAAGCAATAAATGGATTAAACTGATGCCAAAATAACTACAACATAATGCAGATTTCTTAAACATATGAATTCATGCTTTGTCAGGTCTGTCAGCAAGACAGCAGGACAACAACTTCTAAAATGTTTGTTTTCTGAATGGACTTTGAATCGATCAGGGCTATTCTATGCTAACTTGGTCACAATAAAGTACAGACACATGTTTTCTGAACTCACCAGGTAGTTCAACCTCTTTGCTTTCTTTTCTCCAAGTAATGTCCAGTTTTGTCCGGTTTTTATATAAATATGAAGTCGTAGTCCGACAAAGCTAACGACGCTAACAACGACATTGGAACCGGATGTGCACGGAAGCTGCTGAGAAGCTTCATGGAAGGAAATCGCAGCTCTACGCGTCTTTGCATTGACTTTGTCTGTAAACTCGCCGCCCCAAACGCTCGCTTCGCTTTTGGTCTGAAAGCACCATTACGCCTTCAGTCAGCCCAAAACGCAGCTGCTCATTTTTTAACTGGAACTCGCAAGCATGAGCACATTACACCTGTTCTGGACTCACTCCACTGGCTCAAGGTCCAGTTTCAAATACATTTTAAGAGCTTATAGTTTGTTTTTAAAATCAATAAATGGGTCGGCACCTCGTTATATCTCTGACCTCTTAGAAGTTTACACCCCCTCGAGTTTGCTAAGGTCCACTGATCCCCCTAAAACCAGGCCAGAAAACCAGGCGCTTTTTCATCAGTAGCCCCTAACACAGGTCAAAATGACCCCCAACCTCGAAACTCTGTAAACCCACCTGAAAACTCACTTTTATTCCTTGGCACCGTGAGAGCTGTGTGGTCTTCTGTTATTGCCTTTGAATTGTTTTGTGAACCATTTGTTTGTGTTTTATCTATGCTTTTATGTGTGTTTTATGTTTTATTCCTTGTGCAGCACTTTGTAAACCTGTTTTTTTTTTTAAATGTGCTAAATAAATAAAAATGGATTGGAAGTCCATCATAGATTCCACTTACAGTGAGCAAAACACCCGAAGCCATGGCACACAAACACTTCTAGATTTTATTAATATAAATTTTATATAATACATATATTTTGGGGTGTTTTTTTTTGTCTGCTGTTCAGATAAAGATAGCAGTGTTTAGTTATCATGACATGAAAGAATGATGATGAGGTTTTCCTAATATTCATGACCAGTAGCTACCGTTAGCTATGGTATTAAAGATTAATCAATCAAACTTACTTTTCTTACAGTATTTTAGAGAGCTAAATGGAGCTAGCTGCCAACTGTAGTGAAAGTTAGCAGACTGCAGCTACAGCTGTGGTTTGGTGTGCTGGTGAAAAACTCACTTTTATTCCCTGGCTTTTAATCCAGAATAAGAGCTGTGTGGTCATAAACCTTTTGTTTGTGTGTCCTCTATGTTTTTATATGTGTTTTATGTTTTATTCCTTGTGCAACACTTTGTAAACCTGCTTTTTTTTTTTTTTTTTTAATGTGCTGTAACGTTATAAATAAAAATGGGTTGGATCCCACAGTGAGCAAAACCCCTAAAGCCAAGACACACAAACACTTATGAATTTTAACATTATATTTTTATATAATACATCGATTTTGGGGGGTATTGCTGCCTGCTGTTCGGTTAAAGAGGGCAGTGTTTAGTTATCATAACGTTATTGGATGATGATGATGATTGTTTTGTTCATATTTTTAACTAACGTTAGCCATGGTTTTGATGATTAATCGATTAAACGTACGATAAGCAGCCGTTGGTTGTTGCTTTCGCTTATTTTTCTTACAGTATTTTAACGAGCTAAATGTAGCTAGCCGCTAGCTGTAGTGAAACTTACACACAGCTGGCTGAAGTGATAGCCGGTGGCAGCAGACTGCAGCTCCAGCTGCGGTTTGGTGTTTTGGTGTGCTTCGTGTTTTGGTGGAGCAGAGACGACGCCCGACTTCTAGCTTTAGCGGTGGTTAGCTTAGCCAGCAACCGCCGCCATTAGCTAGCTATTGACGCTACTGCGGGCCTGACGGGTTGGCCGATTTCAGATCAGGGGGATTGACAGTTTCTGTGTAAGGTTGTGATTTCTACTTGATATATAATCACCATACTGCTCACATTAAGCGTCTACATATGCCTTTAACCCAACCGAAGATCCGTTTACATCGTTAAAAACCAACGGGCACAAGTACCGCAAGCTAACGCTATAGCTTGAGGCTAGCAACGCCTGCGTCCCAGGGATGCTAAATGGGGACACATTTAGGATTAAGTGCCTAAAAGACGCGTATTTACCTGTTTAAAATATATTATTAAGAGTGTCTACTAAGCGTAACACCAAGGGTGAATTAATCTAGCTGAGAGTAACAGTCAGTGCGAGCTAATCAAGCATTCATACTGTGCCTTCACGTTAATATTGACACTCATTGGGCTTCAGATTGTGTCCATATTCTGCACATGTTAACGGCCCTGTGTGGTTTAATGAGGATATAATTGCGTGTGTGCGCGAACCTTTTTGATATTGTAAACACGGGTCAACATCCCGATGCCTCTGTCGTTGAGGATGGTGAGCTTTTCTGCCAGTTTCTGCTGGCTGGGCTGGATCACTCCCCGAGACATCTTCCTTTCGCCGTTAAATCTCCCGAATCAATCCAGAAAAATAGCAGCAAATCTCCGCAGAATCTGGTCCGTAAAAAGGAAGGAGGGGAAAAAGAAAGAGAAGCTGAGATTTATGGCGTTATTAGATGTCGCCCATGTTCAGATATTCGGGGACAGCAGCTTCCTGTACTCCACCCCACCGTCTCCCTGCCTCTATTTTTTTTTTTTTTCGGTCACCGGGATGAAGACTTGTCCTGGTTTTCACAACGAGGCTGGCTCGTGCTGCGTTCAGGTGACCCTCGTTAATAATAAAGCCCAGAGCACCCTAATTGATCATTGAGCGAAGTACATTTTCCAGTAGAAAACTCAAGGGATGTGCAAATATATAGTAATTTTAGTAATGTCAAAGGTATAATGGTCAGCTGAATCAGTGAACTCTTTTAAATCGCTTCTTAAAACATACTTCTATCAAATAGCATTCTCTAATTTTACCTGATTTTATTTGATGAATAATTTTGGAAATTACTTTTTTCTGTCTCAAATTTGTTTTAGTTTTACCTGCCTTTATGTTTTAACTATTTTATATCTTGTATTTGATTCTTGTCAAGTACTTTGTAACGTTGGTTTCAAAAGTGCTCTATAAATAAAGATTAATATTATGATGTTGGTGATAAGACTTACTGTGAGGCCACTACTTACCATAAAGCTTAAATTAATTTCTTCACTCGCTGAATTCACTCTGTCTGTATTTGGGACAGGTGTCTATGGGACAGACTTTTAATTCCTTTCGCACAAAACTCTTGTTTACCATGTAAATAAAATCTGAATTGTTTCTGTAAAGTTAACTATTGAATTGTGGAGTATCTTACCGATCTTAAAATGTGTAACATATCCAAATTGACAAAGGTTTGAACATTTATATTCTTATGCGTGATCTAAGCAGCTCAGAAGTAGCTCAAGCGAGCAACCCAGTTAAGAGGTTTTATACATCCAAAGAACTTCAAAACAAACAAAAACAAAACAGACCAGGCGTCTATTTGAGACCTGCGTTTATTTGTAGCTACACCAGGCCAGTAAAAAGGACAGGTGTCTAATTGTGACTCCACTTTTAATTAAAGTTTTACGGTATACACAAACTACACAAAACTTTGCTGATTATACTTACGTAACCTACTTTTACTTAAGTAAGATTTTGAATGCAGGACTTAGGAGTATTTTCTCTGTGTTATATTAAATTTATTTTAAGGATATGAATATTTCTTCTACCACAGCCTGGCATTTCAAATGAGCATGGATATGCTCAAAAGTAGGCTTCACTTTAACTGTATGAAAGTCTACTTTTATAAATGATTTTTAATCACATTGTCTAGATAGATAGATAGATGAATGTTATATTATCAGCCACACCCGAGCTGAGTTCAAGTGAACCCGTATCATGAACTATTTTACCGTACAGACATGAACGCATCACGTTTTTGACGCAGCTTCCGCCTCAGCTGTCACGTCTGCGTTCAAGCTTTTATTACTGCTACAGTAGCTGTGTTTCACACATTTATATCCTGTATTAAATACTAATACGGTAATAATCGGTAATAATAATAATACGGTAATAAAAAAGCATCGATGATCTAACTCATTGCGGCATTTGGTCGAATCCATTACATTTAAACCAGGTGGGTGCACGAAGCAGGACATCTAAAGTAACAAAGCTTTGTGTTTTTTTTTTATGTAGAATCACACAATGATCCTCAGGTTTTATATAAAGTTACCTTGACGCCAAACTTTCAATTCGAGAGTCCACATTTTCTACTTAAGTGAGCTGTTGCACCAAAAAGTAAACTTTACAGTCGCCTTTCAGGCTGACTTAACACTGTGTAACATTGAAACAGAACATAAAAAAATTAAACTGGTGTGTGGGAAGGATAAATTTTGGTGGTTGTTTATGGGAACTGTGGCATACAGTAGAGTTTATTTACCTCGTCATCACTGTGTATAAATGGAAGCTTTCACTAATAGTCTTTGGTTTGTTTCAGAACTTGTAGACCCCTGGTGTGATGCATTCACTGGCCCAGGAGATCCAGGGCTTCTCCAAAAACCGTCTGAAGAAACAGTGCACACATGTCACCACCGTGACAGGCAGGAAGCTGCTGGAGAGGAGGAGTGATGGAGGAGAGGGAGAGGAGCAGGTTGAAGAGCTGGAGGAGGGAAGTGGATGTGGATTTGTAGAAGATACAAGTCTGGACCTTCAAGTTGGTGCCGTTAGACCCTTCCTACTGCTGGGTAATATATACCATTAATATAACTACTAATACTAATACTACAAGTCTTACATTGTTTTTAATCTTTTTTTGTTTTTTTTATTTACCGAGGGTAGACTCCAGGTTCTCTTACCACGAACGTACATCTCTCTGTACACTTTAGCCGTATACTTTTATCATTACTGTTATTATCTGCTAGTGCTACCAACTGTACTTACTTGTTGCAAGTATTTCTACAACTTCTACTGCAGCTACGCTTACTACTCAACTACTATTACTGCTATTACTACTGTCATCAACATCTTCTTCTATTGCTATTACTTCTAGCACATTTTGAACAATACTGCAACAACTGCTACTACTGCTGCTACTTCTACAATTATTTTTTCAAATAAATCTCCTACCACTGCTACTATTATTACTACTACTACAAAACATATTAATAGTTCTTCTATTGCTATTACTACGCAACCACTACAACACCTGCACAGTACCACATGGTACTAACTGTTCAGCTACCACTACTACTACTAATTTTACTACTACCAGGGGTATAAAGAGTACTTAAATAATGTACTTAAATATTATTTAAATGGAAGTCCAAAAGTATTGAAGCTTTTCTTAGTAACACTTTAAAGGGCCCATGCAGCATCTTTAATTCTCTTTTCGCTTTTCCAAGAGTCACTGAGAGCAGAACATCATAAAATATCTATAGAGGTAGAAACAGCAGGACACATAACTTCATCAAAAATCTGCTGACAGTGAACAGTAAAGACAAAGGTTTGATTTTAGAATCTTGATTTAAATACTACAAAGTATAAAAAAACAGTAACGGCAGGAAAAAAGTATCTGTGATAAAATAACATAAACTCAATGTTCACTTATCAACTTTTTCTGAGCTTTTGATTATATTTCACAGCCTTCCTCAGCAGAACAGTCTCATGATAATAGATTATTGTATACATTTATATACTTTTAAATAGTTGCTTTCCACTCCTGGCTACTACTACTACTTTTACTTCTACTACTACTACTACTACTACTGCTACTATCACTTCTACTTCTTGCACTTTTCTATTATTAAATATTATATATTAAACATTAAACATTTATTTTGTTGAGGAAAAGGGACGGAAAAAAGATTTTACCTGATTGTTTTGAGAGTTCTACCTCAGATCTGCGTAGTGATCCGCTGTTTGTAAGTGTTTGTCATGTTCTAACCATAAAGAATAGTTTCAAAACCTTATTAACCGTCTGGTTTCAGATTGTTCAAATGATCAAAGAAATTTTTGGCCAGATTGCCCAGCCCTAACTACTACTACTACTGCTGCTGCTGCTGCTGCTGCTAGTACTGCTACTACTACCAGCTCTGTAATAATAATATATCTCTGTTGTCATGAACCAATAGTGTTTCAATTTAACTCACTTTCACTCTCAAAGTCCATTTGTTATGACATGTTTATAGCAGCACAGTGGGAAAACGTCGCTGGAGTCTGTGAGGTTTTAATTGTCCAGCAGTATTAGTTTCACAGTGTCTCAGTCACGTCAATATTCCCACGAACAAAGGCACCAGGTTTGTCCCTGACAATAAATAAATAAAATCCAAACAGCGAATAAATCAATGTCATTCATTTTGAATCTATCTCGGGGAGCATGGTGATGTACCCTTCAGCCGTAGGACGCAGGTAGACGCCCTCACGTGTCAGCATGTATCCGTCCTGCTGAAGTGTCCTTGAGCCTGACATTGAATCCCCTCGCAGCTCTGGGGTGCTGTTCGCTTCTGTAGCTTACGCTGTGCTTTGACCTCACTGCAGGAGGCAAATACAAGAGAGAATTTCTCAGCAGGGATCAATAAAATATTACACTTGTTAGGCTCAATAGAGGTGACTCCTTTCTATAGAGTGCTAATTCCCTTCCCTGTTGTAACACCTTACAGGATCAGTTCTTTAAAATGTTTGCATTAAACCACCTCATTAAACCTTTTATTTCTTTGTTGTTGAAATGCCTCTTTATATCTGTCCTGTGAGACTTGAGATGAGTTTCTCTTTGTGTACTGTGGTGTATAACATATGTGCATTTGACCATTACAGTTTAACATAATGCTCTGTAGCTGGGGACAGTGAACCCTTATGGGGACAGTGAACCCTCCTATAGAACTTGACCACTGACTCAGAGCTGGAGAGAGGCACAGTGAACCCTTAAGGGGAAGTAATGATTGATGGGTGTGCAAAGAGTGAACCCTTCTATGAAATTTGACCTCTGACCCAGTGGTAGGGGGAGTAGAGGTTAGTGTGTATGAAGGGACTGTGCCCTTATATGGTTTTTAGCAGAGACCTAAACATGTCCTATATAAGCTGTGTTCGATGTACAGAGAGACAGAGTGGCCATCGGGCTGGGTCACTCTCCAAGCTGCTGCAGAGCTTGTAATTGATGCTGAATTCTTTGATGTAATAAACTTTTATAATCAAGAACAGTGTCAAGCGGATTTCTTCTCAACACATCATCGCAGCATTATCGTTCGGACACCACAGAAATTGGCGACCACGAAGGGACCGTGTTGTGCCAGAATTCATCGTTCCATCACAGGCTCCGTCGAGCTGACTCCCGCTCCAGAAGCTAGCGTATAGGGTGAGTTTTCTCATAAACTGTGGGCGCTGGTCAGTTCGTGTGTCTGTGTGTGCGTTGAAGGGTACACCGGTTCGATCCCGTGTGAATGCTTGCGGGTGGATGTGTGAGAAGACTCCGTTCTAAATTTTGTGTGCATTGTGGATAACGCAAAAAGGTTGTGTGTGTGAATGTAATGAAGACAGATAGATAGATATAAAAGGAAGAAAAAGGAACAGCCTAGGAGTAACGGGAAGTGAGGTTTCATAACTTTGCAAAGATTAAGAATATGGGCCCTCAGATTCTTATAACCGTAAGTCATGTGGGATGGAAATTACTGTCGCGTGAAACTAGGCTTTAAGGAATAGGTAAATTGGAGTAAGGGAAAAAGAGAGAGAGTGCAACCCTGGCCAGGGTCATTCGGCTTGAATACAAATTAATATAAGGAAGAAAATATAAGGTTAAGGAAAAAATAAGGATTAGGACGCCGCAGATCTGGACAAAAAGCCCTTGAAAGGCGATCTTAGATGGGCCGCAAATCCTGGAAAGGAACTAGGTGAATTTTCGGGTCCGTTCAAAGGAACTGGGAGCTTGTAGAAGAAAAATTTAATTGCAAGTTACCTCTCGATACATGTGTTGACGAACTATGTCCGAAGTGGCCTCTCATTAAATATCTGCAAACTCGAGGTAGCATAAATTTAGGAAGGAAAATAATAAAGGAAAAAGGTGCGGCGGAAGCATGCTTTATAAACAGTGTGAAGAAATGCATTCTTGTTGACTGGATAGCTACCGTGTGTGTGTGAGTGTGTGTGGAGAGCTGCCCTGCTGTGTCTCGGTTGTGTGTGTGAGAAATAGGAGAAGCCTAGTGTGTGTGAGAGACTATGCAGAGGACAATAAGGCTAGGATTCAAGAAGACATATATGAATAATAGAATAAATAAATAAAGAAGGAAGAGAAATATACATATATGAATAAAGAAATAGAGAAGGGAACTTGATCAAGGGGAAAACTGTGTTTTGAAATTTGTTAAAGTTATTGATCAATGCTGCTGTATGGTTTGGGTCATTTCAGAAGCAGCAGTGGGGGTTTTTCTTAGCCTAAGTTACTTTTTTGGGAAGTGCGCATTTGTTTTTCTATATTTTACTTGTATTTCATTTGGGGTTTTTTATGTGTGTAAATACATTTTAAAAGGCATTTTCATTGGTATTGAAGAACGTTGTTAATAGAGTAAGCTTTAAATAGGAGTGAAGAGTAGTGTCCCCAGCATCCCCAGTGTAAATGACACCGAAATTCCTTAGCTTGCATGTTAACGTAGATTGTTAAAAAGTTAGGGAAAATAGATTATGATTACTCAGAGAGGTGACACTCTTATTTTTGGGGGGAAATAACCTTGTGAGTACATAAAAGGACTAAAGTGTTGTTTGCCTTTTTTGGGTTTTTGTTCTCCTGTGATCTGAGAGACAAGAAGGAGAGAGAGAGAGAAGGAGAGAGAGGGGGTGCCGTCCAGCGCGCCACAGCAAAGCAGCCCCGGATCCAGTCTGGCCAGTATTGTGCAATCCACAAACTCTTTACAAACACCTGTGCATATGTGTCTATACTCATTTATAATTATTACGGCTGATACACATTTAGTTTGTTTCCTTTCAGGATATTATAGACACATTTGTAACACAGAGAGTCTATTTGTGTATGCCTGCCATATTTCATGTTATGACTATCTAAGGGGAGACTTGGCAACGGACTGATCAGTTACTGTATTTGAATATTACATATGGGAGTTTTTGTGCAGGGGTCGTTTGAAGTCAAGTTGTGTTGGGAATTGAGTGGTATTGAGCTTTTGGGACAAAACTAAGGTGAGAGGGTGCTTATTAGGTAGGAGTTGGCCGTGTGATTGCTGGATAACAAGATTTTTGTGATTGCTCTGGAGTTGACAAATTCCCTTGATTTTCCGTTAGCGGATGTGGTAAGATTGCCACCTATCAACAATTAAGTAGAATTAAAAGAAAAATAAACAAATAAGTAATAAGGAAAATAATTTACAATAAAGAAATATAAAAAGTTGTCACTATGCGGAAAAAGGACATTAAAACGTTGAAAGTAACTACTCCGGTTGATGTAGTGCAAAAAAATAATCCTCTAGTTGATGGTATTGTAAAGTTATCTGAAAAATGGCATAAGCGTTGGCCTAATATTGAACAACCATGGCCTGTGGAAGGGACTCTTAACCCAGGTGTACTTAAAATAATGCAAGTACTTGTGTCCACATATAAGTCGGATCAAAACAAGGGGAAAAAAGGGGAACGACGTAAAGAGAAGAGACGAAGAGAGCTGGGTGTTCTTAAGTTGTTCGAACATGAAGGTCAAAAACTGATGAAAGAGACGCAAGAGAAAAGGGACAGTGGTGTGGAGAAAATGGCA